CCATGGACATGCATAAACACATTCTTACTGTACCCATCCACCAACACAAAGTGAATTAAGGTGAGCGAGACCTGTTCTTATAACCATGCTCACTTTAACCTCTTTTCCCATGCTGTTCACACTGCTAAGACATTTATAAATGGTCAGTTAGCCTTAATAAGTGCTGTAAAACAATAGCAATCAACTAGGTTCTTTGCTTTTTCATGGAAACTTAAATAAAAAGTTCCCGCCTGATTGTCAAGCTGGCCTGGAGTGGTTAATTGGGAGACGCGGGCCCGGGAGACTCGATTCAAACCAGCACAGTTACTGCTTTGTCAACTGCACTGTATGCTGTCTTGTCCTGTAAATTTTTTTTTGCATAGTCAGGTGTTGTTTCTGTCCTTTTGTTATTTTGTGCACCTCAGGCCTGGAGGAACAACGTTTAGTTTCACTGTATACTGTGAATATGGCTGAAATGACAGATGAACCTACTTGACTTGACTTGACTAACAGTGTGTTAACACATTAAGAATGTGCCCATTTGGCTTTCCATACAGTAGATGTGGGCAGCGTGAAATAGGATGTTCTGGCTTGCCTCACCAGTTATCAAGAGGAACAAGACGTATGAGCTGTGTTACACTTGGGGAATGTTCAGACCTTTCTGGAAGCCAGCATGTTCTCTGCGTTGAGTTGTGCATTTCAAAGTTGCGTGGTCTGTACACACTGTTGACGGTACTGCTTACGTATTCAGTACTCGGCCATTTCGGAGAAGCCATTTCACAGAATGTGGTGGAGTCGTGTCTAATTTTGCATTCGCACTGGTGCCGCTCACACTTACACATTTCCTTCCATCTGCAGACTACAGGCCAGAATGAAGTGAAAACTCACTTCTTTCTATCTCACATTATGGATATTAGATTCCTTTATTGTCATTGTACAGAGTACAATGAATTTTTTTGCACCACTCCAAACAGTGCATTTACATAACAACTGATTGTAAATGTAAACTGAGATGTAACTTACGAACAATTTTGGACATAAGACATTACACAGGACTTAATAACACCATAAACCCTGTATGGGCATGAAATACTGCAAACAGATAAGCTATTGCACTGAGGATGCTACCCGATATTGATATTGCCCAAACATTGTGGTATTGTATCACGTAAATGCAATCACCAGTGCAATTAATATAGATAAGGTACAGCTGGATGTGAATATATACAGTGTTGTTTGAAAGTGACTGTCGTGACAAACACCCCAGGACTCACTGGCACAGTCCAGTATCTATTTTTCATAGAGACACAGGACTCGGTATATCAAAAGAATCAAAATGTGTGAGCTAACATGCTTTGACTCTTTTAGCCTTCATAAAAATGCCCATCAGCCAAAGATGTTCCTTAGGTTTGCATACTGTGATATAAGGCTTTATAAGAGCATGCAAGCAGCTCTGCACATTTCAAAGCATTTAACATGCAATATTAGTCTTGAGCTGATGATGCGTTCCTGATTAAACAATATGATGTCAGGCTTATATCTCTACCACTCTATGATGTCATTTGACATATGGACTATGTCAGAACGTAGGCCTATGTCAGTGTAGAATGGGCCACTGCATAGTAAACTGCATTGTGAACAAGGCATCTTTCTCCCTACAGCACCAAAATAACCATTGAATCCTGAAAGCAGCACTCATCTGAAATTAGTTAAATCTCAGGTTAGTGTTAGAACCGCTGGGAAGCTGGTTTAATATTGGACTTTCGTGACACATTTGTATGGAAACATTGTGAAAATGTACGTCATTAATGTCCACAAATATGGGAAAAATAAAATGGCGTAAGAAGTGATTTATTAAAGATTTTTATTAAAGAATTTGCATAGATCGTATTGTCTGCCAAGGGCCACATTGGCGTCAGAAGTGGGATGCCAAAAGTGGCCCTACTGGTGCTACTGGAGTGGGCTCTCAACGACATCATCTGGCAAGGCCACTGTGAAGCAGCGGTTGGGGAATGACGGTGGCAACAAGACCACAAGCGCCATGGCAAGAGGCTGGTTTGCTGGTGCTGCTGGGGGAGGGGAGATGGGACGCCGGGTACGCCTTTGCCCAGAAACCCACACCTGAGCCATCAGGAGACGAGCTGAGAGTGGTGCGGTGAGCCAGGTGCCGCCCCCTCCCTCAGAAGCGGTCCTGTGCAGTGTGCCTTCAAGCCTTTGGGTCTTGTTCCAAATTTGAGGTGGGGACTGGGTGTGCTGGTCTCTGGGACGGTTGACCTCTGAGTGGGGCGCAGTATAGTGGAAACCATTTGCATTTCCCAGCATGCTCACGAGCCTTTTAAATGATGCCTGTGTGTTATTGTATAGTTGTATGTATGTTGTATAGTATAGTTGTATGTAATTAGCATGCATCGTAATGTCTGGTGTGGTGATAAATGTTATGTATTGCATATAGTGTGTGCGTGCGCCCACCACGGACTTTTATTAATAGCTAGCTGTCTGTTAGGTCCTTCAATGGCTATTAATAAACGCGCATTCTGGCTTCAAGTAAATCGCCTCATCCCAATATAATTAATGCACACTTTGACGAAGTTTCTTATTGGTTTATGTCAAAGCCACTCCACGCTTTAATGACGTCGGTGAAACATGCCGGTAAAAATTAAATGAACGCATAATTAAAGCGTGTAGGTAACTGTGGAAGATTATAAGCACAAAAATTGGCAATTCAATATCAGATTAAATATTGAAATGAGAAATGCATGCTCTGATTGAATATTGAATTGGCAATTGCAAAATGAATAGTCATTTGAATTTTTGTGTTTATAATCTTCCGTACTAAGTATCTTATTACTGAAAGACCTTTTACATCAAGTACATTCTTACCACGTTGACGCGGTATAAAAAAGCACACGGGTGTTTTAAACGGGCATTTTTGCCGTCCATTGAACATAAACTATATCGTGTGGAAACCTATTCTTTCTCACGGTTTGTGCCCCGATGGCTTTCCATACAGCGCAGCGAGTAGATATGCGATCTCGGCCAGACCAACCGGAACCCCGGCCCGCACGGCAGGTGGGGGCGGTACCGGGCGGCGCGTATCGTGCGGGGCCGGAGTTCCTGTTACTCGGTGTCTGTGCTGTGCACGTTAGGCGAGCTTAGTGTCCTTGTGCTGACCTGTATTTTCTGGACAAAACAGTAAGGTAACGTGAATTGGTGCTGTAACATATTTGGAAATTACACTGCATGAAACGTGGTCTTAATAATAATAATAATGCATTTTACCCTCACCCCGCATGCTTTTAATATGGCGTTTTACACACCCAATGCACTTGAATGCATGTGAAACTTTAAGTAGTATGCTGCTTGCAAGGTGCTTGCAGACGTTGCTTAATCTAAATTTCGGGAACAAACAAAGGCAGCTCCCAGCGTGCAGGTTTGTAAGAAGACAAATTTGTCTGCGGTTGACGAAAAAGCGGATGTATGCCGTATGTATCTGTGCGTCTGCAGTGACATTAACGCGTCTGTATGAAGTTCACGATAAGCAATTCCGCCCGATTGCGTAAACTGCAGGGAGCAAAAAAGGCAGAAATAGAGAAGTAGGAGCAGAAATGCACTGCAGGACGTCCCGACTGCATCGTCTAGCTTTGCTCGGGTTATCTGCTCGTTGCATCAGGCAGCTGTCAGGTGTAAACCGGCTGTATTGGACTCGAAATGCATTTTATAACTTGAACGTATGAACGTGCCAGTGTTAAATGTCACTTCATCATTGTTTAATAGACTGAAACGAAGAACCATGGTACAAGCTAAGGCGTGGATCCTTCGCCATCAGTTTGTGGGCTTCCCCAAAGCTAGCGACTTCGAGATGAAGCTGGAGGAGCTCCCAGACCCAAAAGACGGAGGTAAAGGAGAATTGCAAACTTTCTAAGAGCTACCCTACCCACGAGTACGGCGATCACAGAAAAATTCGCTTTACGTAGGGTAGTGCTTCTCCATCCAATGCATGGAGACCCGGACATGGTCCACATTTTTGCTGTCTTCCAGCTTTCAGGGAGTGGGTTTTTATAGACGGACACGGTATGGTCTTGGGGTAGCACCAAAACCAAAAGCTGTAATAGTTATAGTATGTACACCAGTTGAAAACTGTCAGTATGAGAGTTAGGGAATCACATACTGATATACTTTGGCTCCTTATTTTACAGTTAAAGTTACTAATTTTCTGATGTGCATAGACTAATACCTGTACAGTTAACATTTTGAATTCCACAATAATCCCGCTTTAATGTGTTCTATATCTATATATAAATAAATTAGGCTGCAACTTTCTTTCATCTGAACTATTGTGAAAATATACATTATTGATTTAAATGAAGGGTACCTAATGTAAAATGTCTGATAGAAGCATTATTATATGCAGTATGTGCAGATTGCTGGGGGGGTTCTGGGAGGACCAAATCAGTTTATTTCTGTGGCACATTTTCAAACAGCAGTGGTAGACAAAAGTGCTTGACACAGAATCAGTAACACATACAACAATGTGTTACTGATGTGCATAAAAAAGTTAAAAAAAAATAGAAGAAAAAAAAATAAAAGAAACTTTCAAATCACACAAACACAAATACACACGACTTTTAAAACCTCTAAAAGCCTCAGCAAATAGGTGAGTTTTTAATCTAGATTTAAAACGTTTTATGGGAGGGTGCTGCCTGGATATGTGGCGCCAGGCTGTTTCGTGATCTTGACCCTCCTGTTTTCGCTGCAAACGACATCTTGTGACCAAAAGCAGAAGCTCTTGTTACAATAATCTAGACGCCATGAAAGAAAGGCATGGATTATGGTCTCAATCTTTAAAGGTAAACACAGGCTTACTCTTAAGACTCTAAGATGGTAAAAGGAGAACTTTGGTCACAGCATTTATCTGATTATCAAACTTGAGATTAGGGTCGAATATAATGCCAAGATTCTTCATGTACGGTTTAGCATATCCAGAGAGTGGCTCAAGTGCACCACTTACAGTCTTAACACCCTCTGGAAGTACAGAATGTATTGGGGTGATGATTTGGGTACGATGGCCCTTGGATAGTACCAACAAGCTTGTCAGTGGCATGTCACATGGAACGAAATGTTGTTCTTCCAGAAATGATCCTGGAAGCATTATACCTGAGCGTGGACCCTTACATGAGGTATGTATGTGAACAGTGTGTCTTATGGGTAAAAATACAAACAAATGACATACCTTTGCTACCTTCGTTTCATTACACCGTAGAGCAGTGTTTCCCAATCTGGTCCTCGGCACCCAAAAACAGTCCACTGTCTGGAAGGGAGGGAGCAAAAACCCGGACCGAGTTTGGGAAACACTGCCCCTAGAGAACGGCACAAAGTTTAATCCTTCTCTGTATTACAGTACTAATTGAGTTAATGAAATGGTGCCATTCTGGGCATGTACGCTAAAGTGTTATTTTTGCTATATATGATAGGCAGCAAATACGGATGGATCTCTGAGATGCCAGATAACAGAATGGCACCAGTCAGGGGCAAAGGAACCGGGGGGGTGTAGGACATGTATCCACCAATATTTAATTTGGCTTTGTCTCCCCCTAAATATAGGCCTTTACAGGCCTGGGTGAGATACTGATAAAATATTGTATCACGATCATGAACATTCATATTGCTATCAATTTGAATATTGTGATATAGTCTAAACACTTTAATTGCATAATTTACAGTTATAATTCTCATTATACCGATCATTTGCTCCATGACTATTAGTAAAACAACTTGGTCATCATAATCAAAAAAACTCAAAACCGCCTGTCATATTTTACTGTTTTCTACATCTGAATTTTAGAATATTGTGATATATATGAATATCCTGAAAATCTCTGAAAATATTGTGATTATAGTCAAACCCGTTTGACTATAATCAGAGAAAAGTCAGAGTCAGAGAAAAAAATGACAAAAAAACATAGAATAAAAAAGTTTATTTTGTATGATTTATTTATTAAAATTAGATTTCAGTCCATAGTTTTAGTTGAAAATATTGTGGTATAATGTTTAAGGCATTTTCCCCAGCACCAGTCAAATCCATTCCCTGGAACCGTGAGGCAGTCAGAGAATAAAACCCCAACTGCAGTAAATGTATTGTCAGTGTTTTCTTATCTTACACCCTATGACAAAAAAAGTTTATTTTCATATATTTCACGTATTTTCACCTTTTGCCATGTTCTGAATCTGTATAGGATTATTTTACCTTCCCAGCCCAATGCTTTTACATTAAACTTAAGGTGTCCCTCGAATATCAAACTTGCCACTACGCCTTTGCCACCAGTAGGGGGCCACCATGTGCTTGTGTGCTTGTGTTTCGGTATGGAGTCCTGGTTTGCAGACATGCACAGACACGTACACATTATCATGGCGGCTTTTTGTCCTCGTTACCTGCTTTTATTAGTGCGCTGCAGTCAAGCTCTCCTGTTTGCTTCGGTCTGTGTTAGGATCACAGGTTGCTTGTAATCTTCACGCCTGTTGTAGCTAGATTTGTGCTTATCCACAGGGCTTACAGCAGAGCGAGGATGAAGGAGGGTGATGTGATGATTGGAAGACAAGTAGCAAAGTAAGGAATACCAGCAAAATGCCTTCCCATGCGGCAGCGCCCTGTGCTTTCCGCGTCCTTGACTGAAGCATGGTTACTAACTAAATGCACAGTAGATGCTCCAAGCGTCTGCTTCCATGCAGAGTGTTTTATTAGTTGACCTTGTGACATTTCACCCCACAGGGTCATCGTCAGCAAGAACCCCGCTTTCTCTGTAGGATCCTACGTGGTAGCAAATTGCGGCTGGCGGTCGTTTGTGCTCTCGGATGGGACGGAACTTACACCCATTGTGTCAGACTGGCCAAAAGACATCCCCTTGTCCTTCGCCCTGGGGGCCATTGGCATGCCTGGGTAAGGCCTCTCCTACCCCTCACGTTTCATGGCGTGTGACTTGGGTTCAAAAGGGAGATACCAGTGTGTTACATTATCTTGGTTTGGTCTCTCCTGGGAGCCTTGGTCTGTATCTTGAAGTACTGCAGTTTCTGGCAGGGCTGGTAAGGTAGAGGAGGAGTGCCAGAAGTGTTGAATGATTGATTGTCCCCGCAGGCTGACGGCCCTCTATGGACTGGAGGAGATATGCCAGCTGAAGGCAGGAGAGACACTCTTGGTCAATGCTGCTGCTGGGGCTGTTGGCTCTGTGGTTGGCCAAATTGGCAAGATCAAAGTAGGAGCTCTGTGACGCTCTCTACCATGCTCTCATGAATCTGAAACACATCCCTGCTCGTATTAGCTGTGAAACATTTAGATTGAATTAAGCTTGTTCAAAATATGAAGGTGGCAGCCCTTCTGCCATCCACAGGGCTGCAGGGTCGTGGGCTGTGCTGGTTCAGACGCTAAGGTGGCATACCTGAAAGAGCTTGGGTTTGACCAGGCCTTCAACTACAAGACTGTTGGTTCACTGGAGGAAGCTCTGAGGGAGGCATCAGCCGAAGGATACGACTGCTACTTTGAGAATGTGAGTGAC